ATTATATTTTAGTCTTAGTTCAGAATTCCTTTTTATAGCATACTTTAACTTTACCTAGTTTTAAGAGTTCTAGATGTGGTGTGCATTGAACTGCAAACCAGAAGACTGATAGTTCAAACCCACCAGCTGCTCTTTATACAGGGTTGCTATAAATTGGAATCAACTTCACAGCACTTAACAACAAAGGATTTAAATAATTCCAGAGTCAATAAACAGATGTATAATCAGTTTATGAACTATACTTTAAAATTGGGTTGTGTAACAAGTGATGTTTATTATTTTTTTAAGAAGCACATTTGTTATTGTTTGTATCAGAAAGTTTGTATAACTTGAATTTGTTGTTGACCCTTAGCTATAAAATAAGCTCACATCTGTTATGCCAATGTTGCACTTATTTTTTGTTTTAAAATAATACACAATATTTGAATAAATGACAATAGCGATAGGAATTTGGTTTATAGCTTTATGATGTACCAAACATTACAATGAAATAAGACATTCAAATGTTGTTGATGTTAAGTGCCACTGAATTGATTCTGCTCATAGTGACCCTGTATAGAATTTCTGAGGCTGTAAATCTTTGTGGCAGCAGAAAGCCTCATCTTTCTCCCATGTAACGGCTGGTGGACTCAAACTGCTGACCTTGTGATTCTCAGTCCAGTACATATCCTCTACAGTCACCATGTTCCAAGAAATATAATAAGTTCAATAACTAGTTTGACAATATCTATAACTCAAAGGATCTATAAAAGCAACAGCTCATTCTAGAAAATATAGTCAATAAATTAGGTTAACGCAGTATAAATCATATGAAGATAATCACGTAGTGGTTACGAGTTGGGCTGTGAACCTTAAGGTCAGCAGTTCGAAACTACTAGCTGTTCCACAGGAAAAAGATGAGGCTTTCTGCTCCTATAAAGATTTACAGCCTCAGAAACCCTGTGCAGGGTCACTATGGTTCGGAATTGACACCACGGTACTTAACAACAACAACATATTCTAAGTAAATACTTCCTCTTTATCTTTCAATATTATTTCATCTCTTCAAAAGCCATATGAGTATTTATGTATCAGTGAGCTCCCAGGATAGTGTCTGAAACACAGTAGGCATTCAATAAGTACTACCAATATAAATGATGACTAGAAATAGGTCTGGATCAAATATTGTTTTTACAATTCCTATTGTATTATGAATGTTCCACATTGCAATCTAGTGCCTTGATAAGGTGAATTCGTTACTATATAATGTGGCTAACTATCATCTTTTATCATTTATTCTCAGGTAATGATAAAGCATGGAGTCCTGGTGTGGCTCTGTGGGTTAATGAGCTGGACTGCAAAGTCAGTTTGAACCTAAAGGTTGGCAGTTCAAGCTCATCAACTGCTGCTTGGAAACCCTATACAGGGTCGCTATGGGTCGGATCCAACTTGACAGCACTTAACAACAACAACAACAATCTTTAGCATTAAAATCAGAAAATACATAGTTCATTAGAACTGGAAGGCACCTTAGAGTGTATTTGAGGGCTTACCCTTAATTTATAAGTGAAAAAAAAATCAGGGCCAAGAGGGCAACAAAACTGGTTCCCAGTCACACAACCTGTGGGAGATCCAAGACTGAACCCTGATCTCCTTGTTCCCAGGCGAGCTTTCCTTCACTGACACCATGATAGTGCTAAGAACTCTAGAATTCTGAGGTAGGTTTCATTCTTCTTTATTACAGTGTTGCATAAGTCAAATCAATATACTTCTTCAAATACTATCTTCCTCATTTCCAAAGAGGCAAGAGTAAATTTTATCAGACTTTAGGATACGCTTTGTAAGTTTATGAAATGGGATTTAATTGTGTACATTATTATTACTTATTGCTCTGAACATTTAATTGTTTATTTAGGATGTCCTGAGTTACACAAATGGTTAAACACTTGACCAGCAGCCTAACAGTTGGTGGTTTAAGTTCAAACTCATCCAGCAATGCCTAAGAAGTCTGGCCTGGTGATTTGCTTTTGAAGGGACACAGCCTTGAAAACAATATGAAGGAGCTTTATTCTGCATAACTGAGGTTGCCATGAGTCAGAATTGATTCAACAGTAACCAACAATAAAAACAAAATTGTTTATTTTAATCTGCCTCTTTTGCACTATTTTATGGACTTAGTGCTCAATCCTTTAGGAAGAAGCCTTGATGGCACAATGGTTAAACACTTGACTGTTAACCTAAAAGAGGGCTGTCAAGCTCACCAGTCATTCCATGGTAGAAAGATGTGGCAGTCTGTTTCCATAAAGATTAGAGCCTTGGAAACAGACCAGTTCTACTCTGTCTAGAAGGTCGCTATGAGTTGTAATCAGCTCAACGGCAATGCTTTAATATTTCAGGAACACTGAAAAATTGTGGTGACATAGACTTACAGACTTTATCTTTAACTAGTATATTCAACCATAGGTCTCTAGGACCACTGACAATAATTTGAAATGTTGTATTGATGAGGACATTTTAAGTCTCATGGTACCTTCCTTGTTGTTCTTCTTGCTGTGTGCCATGGAGTTGATTCCGACTCAAAGCAACCCTGAACAGGATTTCCGAGGCTGTAATCTTTACGGGAGCAGAATGCCCCATCTTTCTCCTGCGGAACAGCTGGTAGTTTCGAACTGCTGACCTTGTGGTTCACAGCCCAATTCATAACCACTACACTACCAGAGCTACCTACCTTCCTTTAGAACTGTAATTAAAGTATTATTCTTAGGGAATATCAAATGTAAATTTGATATTTACCATATTCATTTGCTTCAGATGTCTAGACTTGTAGATGACTTTTCAAAGACTTTTCTTAGGCCAGTTTATTTAATTTTTCTTTGTGGTTGTCACTAATAGAATATGATTACGTCACCAAACACTATCAGATAGAGTAGGGATTATTGTAGGCTTTTATTGCATTAGCCACAGACTTTTTCTGCTAAGAGGACTCCGAGTATAATTATAGGGTAATATTATATTATACTTATTCATGACTTCAAATGAAAAACTATCTCTCACAAATGTAAATATTGTAGTTGACTAAGGTTTATATCTAATCAGATAAGTAATTATAACTAGACTTAGTCCATAGATGTTGAAGGATGCCCATTAATGTGACAAAAAGTTAATCCAAGATATCCTCTCACTACTTAATGTTAGTGAGAAATATAATAATAATGAGGGAAATTGAAATTTGGGGAATGAAAACAATTTTGATATTTGTGAGTATGAATATTAGTTTCTATCATGTGTTTTATTAACTATGGTAGAAGACTGCAGTGAAATCAGTCAGCTTTTTACAAAGAAGTTACAAGCCCATTCAAAAGAGCTTATTAGTAATGGCAGTTAGAGAGTTTACAGGTTTAAATTCATAAGTAAACTAGCAGACTTTCATAACTATAGGAAGAAACTCTCAGTAAAGTAATGTTACATTTGTTGTAATTTCAGTCATCTCTTTAGGTTTAGGACCATGGCACTGTCCTTATGATTCTCCATAGCCTATGTTTGATTAAAAATATACATATATATTTTATTGTGTTTAGATTAAAGTTTACACAGCAGATTAGGTTCCCATTTGATAATTTTTGTACAATTTGTTCCATGACATTGGTTATATTTTTCACAATCTATTGACATTCTCATTATTTCTAGTCTTTTTGCTCTGTTTTCCATTAATCTAACGTCCCTGCCTCTCTTTAGTCTCCTCTTTGTGTAAGGTAAACGTTGGCTATTTGGTTTCATAGAGTGATTATTTAAGATAACTAGTGATATTATTTGTTTTATAAGCAAATCTATTATTTGGATGAAATATGATCACTGGGAGTGACTTCCAAATTCCAAATACAAAAGGTATCTTAAGGAGTCAAAGGCTAGTCTCGGGGGGGTTCCTTTAGTCTCTATTAGTCCAGTAGGTCTGGCTTTTTTTTAAGAATTTGAGTTTTGTTTTACTTTTTTTCTCTCTTCTATCCAGAACCTTCTATTTTGTCCTTGGTCAGAAGGGTCAATAGTAGTAGCCTAGAACCATCAAGTGCTTCTGGTCTTGGGCTAGAGAGGGTGTGATTCATGTGGGCTACTAGTCCTGTGACTAGTTTCTTTTTTAATCTTTGGTTTTCTTCATTCTTTTTAGTTCCAGATGAGTAGAGACCAATAGCTGTATTTGAGATGACTGCTTGCAAACTTTGAAGACCCCAGATGCTACTCATCAAACTAGGATATTGTCTTTATGAGATATGTTACTCCAATTGACTGAGCTATATTCCAATAAACCAATCAGTAAACGAAACTTGGTAAACCAATCTGGCAAAGTGTTTGGTTATATCTAGGTAGTATATGCCACTGTGCTGCTCTCCATTTGTATATGATTTTTAATACCATTGTCCCCAAACTGGCAGTTTTCCTATTGTGAAGTTCTTACTGTAAGATCTCTCTAGGTGACAGTTTAGATAAATATAACATGAATACCATGTATGTAATGGGATGTATTATTTCCAAAGAGTTACATCAACACTGGCCTTGTAGTTAATGGGAACTAAATCGGCTGTGAGGAGATTGAACAACGTCTGTGGTTCCCAGGCATATATCAGTGCCAGGGTGTTTTCAGCCAATGAAACACTTGTACTTCCTTTGAGGAGCTGTGTGTGCTTTGGAAGTTTTCCCATCCCAAACATTTAACTAGTGGTGATAAGACTGTGGAAACATTCTGTACCACCTCTCTTCACTCCCCTTCCCTTCTCTTAGTTCTTCAGTGCCAAATCTACAAGTTTACCTTGTCCTATTAAATGAAATAAAAAGGATACTCATATCATATATAATACTTCTTTTGTCTACCCACCTAAACTAATCATTATCATGAAAAATAAAACACTTGTTTAACAGAACAAATGGAAAGAAAATATATAAAATACATCTTTGGGACTCTGGTACAATGAACAAACTTAGAAATGCCACCAATTCATTTAGATACCACATGGCCAAGTTATACCTACGTTCAGTTGTGCTTTAGATTCATACTGGAAATTTTCAAATGTGTATTTGTCAGATCTTCTTTGACGCATCTTAAATAGTCTGGCACCACGATTACTGAGATGGGATAATTCTTCTAGCATGATGTCTCTGGGGATGCTGACTTTTTTGCCCAGGTCTATGCCATCTACATCTGGAAAACAATATCAATATGTGCATGAAAATCCCCAAAGAAAACATTTTTTAAAATGCTTTTCTAAATTTTATAATTTATTACATGTCATTTGCTAGTGTGGTGATTAAGATAGGGACGTTTTAGTCAGACTGTTGGTTTGAATCCTGGCTCCATGGTTTTCTAACTGCAGGATTATAGATTATGGACTTATTTTCTCTAAATCTCAATCTCCTTATCTCTAAAATGTGGCAAATAATAATAATACCTACCACATAGGGCTGATATCAGAATAAAATAAAGGGAATTATGTAAATCACTTACTATCATAGATTGAATTGTATCTTCCTAAAATATGTGTCAACTTGGCTGGGTCATGATTCTCACTGTTTTGGCAATTATGTAGTGATGCAATGTGGCAATCACGTGATGATTTCCCCATGATGTGATCTGATGTGTTTAACAAATAAGAGGATTAAAGATGGGCTGCATTATCCTTATTCCCATCACAAACCTGATCCAATATCAGAAGTTTCCCAGGAATATAGCCTATAATACCTGTTATCTTATAAGAGATAAAAGGAGAGAGAAGTGAATAGAGAAAGAGAGACCTACTACAACCAAGAAAGAAGATGCAGGAGTGAAGTGGGTCCTTTGCACCTGGGGTCCCGGTACCAAGATGCTCCTAGATCCAGGGAAATATTGATGCCAAGGCACATAAGGATCTCTAAGAAACCTTAGACCTACAGATACTGAAAGGAAGCAAGGATCTTTCTCCAGAGCTAGTGCTCTGTAGAGTCCTGGTGTGGTGATGTAGGATAAGAACTGGACTATAAAGTTGGCTTGAAACACAAAGTTGGAAGTTCAAACCTACCAATTGTTCCTCAGAAACCCCATAGAGGGCCACTATGAGTTGGAACTGACTCTACGACAGTAAACAACAACAGTGTGAGAGAATAAATTTCTGTTAGTCATCTACTTGTGATATTTCTGTCCTAGTGGTGGTGGTGGTTATGTGCCGTGGAATTGGTTCTTACCTATAGTGACCCTGTATAGGGTTTCTGAGGCTATAAATCTTTACAAGACCAGAAAGTCTCATCTTTCTCCCATAGAACCACTGGTAATTTTGAACTGCTGACCTTTGAGGTTAGCAGCCCAACTCATAGATTATGGTACTATGTACCATAGTATCTGGTACATAGAAAAAGTGAACAAAAATTAACTGGCATTATTATTATTAGTATTTAGTCTTTTTATATTGAGTGACCTATCAAATGATACTTTGTTGGTGATTTTACTAAGTTCTATTTTATACTCCACAATTTTATGTCTCATCTAGTTCTGTCCCTATTACCGGAATGCTTATCCTACCATCCCGCCTCAATTCCCTGTCTTCGTCATTACATTATTCATTCTGTATCTAGCACCAAGGTGTCAGTATATAATAGGCAAGTGATAACTATTGAGTGAACAAATCCTTCCAAATCCCACTCAGATTTTATGTCTTTGAATTCCATCCCGAAAATCTCTACTCATAATTATTCATGTCTTTGCTACAGTTCCATGAATCACAATTACTTGTTTTATGGCTCACATTTTACTTTAGGCCTTGTCTTAATCATTTAATTGCTACTGTTGTTAAGTGCAATGGACTCAAGCATATCAACGATTGTGAGGCTGGCGCAGGACCAGGCAATGTTTCATTCTGTTATGCATAGGGTCACTATGAGTTGGTACTGACTTGATGGTACCTACCTAACAAAAACAACAACATGGTTAAGTGCAATGGAATAGTTTGTGATTCATATCAACCCTGTATAGGGTTGCCAAGGCTTTAAATAGTTTTGGGAGCAGAAAACCTCATCTTTGCATTGTGGAGCAACTGGTGGGCTCAAATCAAGGACCGTGTGGTTTGTAGTCTATGCTTATTGTATTAGTATTACTTTCTATTTCCAGCAATGAATGCCTTTTACAAAGTCAAAAAGAGAAGGAACTTTTCCATTTGTTTCTTTGATTTTGACAAGAATCAGGAATTATTCTTTGTAACTGACTGCATTCTTTTGCCACTGTCAAATGCTATTAAATTGCTATTAAATTAGAAAAATTAGTCCAAATGTAAAATAAGTAATATTCTTGTTTGATTAGGTCAGCATGTTTCTTAGAATTCAGGATGGCAAGACTTCGTCTCACATACTTTGGACATGTTATCAGAAAGAACCAGTTCCTGGAGAAGGACATCGTGCTTGGTAAGATGGAGGCTCAGTGAAAAAGAGGAAGACCTCCAACAAATTGGATTGACCCAGTGGCAGCAACAATGGGCTCATACATAACAATTATAAGGATGGTGCAGGACTGGGTAATGTTTTATTCTGTTGTGCATAGAGTTGCTATGAGTTGGAACCAACTCTACTTGACAATAACAGTGTTCAACATCCTTTGATGATGTGACTATTATCCATAATAACTATAATTTTGGGGTGCTTAGGGGTAAAGCAACAGAATTTCTTGTTAAGATTTCTATTTTGTTTTGAAAAATAAAAAAAATCAGTTTTTTGGGTTTTTTTTTTTTTTACAAGTTTTTACATGGTAAGGGACTCTTGTTGTTGCTAAGTGTCGTTGAGTCAGTTCCAACTCATAGTGACCCTGTATAGGCTTTCCAAGGAGTATATGGTGAGCTTGAACTGCCAACCTTACAGTCCAACACATTAACCTGCAGTGCCACACCAAGACTCTACTAATTATAAAAACCATAATATCAAAGCTCTGCTTCTGGAAAGGTGAAGTTAATATGCTTTTATTTATTTATTGACTAAGTTCAACTAAAATCCTAGCATTATGTGTAAAACAAGCATATAAAGACTCTAAAAGGTAGAGAGAAGAAGGCAGACCAGGTTTAAATAAAAAAATCACTGATCCTATCAAGAGCTAGGAAAATCTCAAACTGAATGAAAAAATACAATCAATAGATGTTAACACCAATATGATGGAGATGTGAAAATTATCTATCAAAGACTCTAAAGCAACCAGGATTAAAATGCTTCAACAAGCAATTACAAACATGCTAGAGACAATTTTTTTAAAAAGAAGAAAGATTTTTTACTAAAACAACAAAATAAAAAAGAAAAATATCAGCCAATAAAAGATATAAACAAAAACAAGAAGGAATTCTACCACTGAAAATTTATAACAAAAATGAAAAGTTCTATAGATGAGCTAAATAAAGACTATAAGGAATGAAGGGGAGCAAGAATCAGTAAATGTGGAGAAAAAAAATTAAATTGCCCAATCAGAATAGGGAGAAAATAGACTGAAAAAAAAAAAATAGAAGAAGAATGAACAAAGCTTTAGGGTTCCTTGGCACTATAATACAAGAAGTAACATTTACATCACTAAAATCTCAACAGGAGAAGAGAATGAAGGTGAAACTTTAAAAGTTCTCAAAGAAATAATGGCTGAAAATGTTCTAGATTTGGTACAAAACATAAATCTAGAGATATAAGAAGTTGAGTATTCCTCAAACAGGATCAACACAAAGAACTCCACAAGACAAATCATAATTAAACTTATGGAAACTAAAGAAAAATTTTGAGAGCAGCCAGAGAAAAATTACATTTTACTTATAGGGGAAAAAGAGTTATAATGGTAGTGGATTTCTCATCAGCAACCATGAAAACCAGAATAAAATAGTACAACAATTTTCAGGTGATGAAAGAAAAGATTTGTCAATCCAGAATTTTTATATCCAGCAAAAATATCTTTTGGGAATGAAGGGGAAATCAAGACATTCTCATATGAAGGAAAACTTGAAGGATTTGTCGACAGAAGTCCCACCCTAAAGTACTGGATAAAGGAAGTTCTCTAAATGGAAAGTAAAAAATGAATGAAAGAAACTTGGAACATCAGGTAGGAAGAAAGAATACAGTTGGCAAAAAAATATTGCCAGATACAATAGACTTTCCTGCCTTTCTCCTCTTGAGTTTTCTAAACTATGTTTGATGGTTAAACCAAAGCTGATGATTCAGTATTTAAATCTCAATCAATGTTCCATGTTGCAAAGTACTGTTGAGTTGGTTTTGACTCACAGTGACCC